TAAGAAATCGAGAAGCCTAACCACACTCATTATTACTCATTAGATTTTTACAACCATTCATCCAATACATGTACCCAATTTATCCCTCTCTACACACAATCCAACGGCCAGAGTGAATGTCATGAATACTCTTTGTGCTCACATTATCGTTTTGTATTAACCATGCTTTCGCCTTCATTTTTAGCTTATGTACGTCTATTCTTAGACAAATAAGGTGCTATTCATTCTACGCTATTTATTCTTGTTCTCGCGCTCAATCAGAATCGATATTTTATTCGTAACAAGCATATGTTGACAACGTTACCGTGTGTGTCGTGATGTCCAGGAACATGATCGAAATTTCAACAAATTCCTAGAGGCCTCCAAAAGTCACGATATTACGTTTAACCAGAAGAAGAGCATCATAGGTACTACGAAAGTACTATTACTAGGATATGAAATATATATAGCTACTGCGAAAGTACTATTACTAGGATACGCAATATCTCACGGTATAATAAAACCGTATTCTGAACGTCTTTGAGCCCTACGGGAGTTGCCTCATCCATGCGACATCCGTTCACAACGAAGATTGGTCGGAATGCTGGCATACTACGCACACTGGATCCCGTGTTTTTCGGATGAAACTCAGCATTCTAGATAGCGTACGAGCTGCATTGAATAATCTCAAACACGACTTGAGGAAGGCCGCCGTGTACACCATAGACTACGCTCATCCTTTCGTGGTGGGAGCTGATGCTTCCAACATAGTCATTGCTGCCACTCTCAATCAAGACGGGCGCCCGGTGGCTTTTTTTCACGCACTCTGTCACGCAGTGAGCGCCATCACTGAGCAATCGAGAAAGAAGCGTACGCGATTGTTGAGACAGTGAGAAAATGGAGACACTACCTGATCGGAAATCACTTCACGCTTGTCACGGATCAACGACCAGTCACCTTTATGTACGACAAACAACACACAGGCAAAGTGAAAAACGACAAAATCCAGAGATAGAGACTCGAACTGTCCTGTTTTCATTACGATGTCCAGTACCGTCCAGGTAATCAAAATAAAGCCGCTGACGCACTCTCGCGGATTGGTCACATATCTGCGATGTCACACTGTTAGGAGGACTACCTCCTAACAAACATATTCACATTGCTGACCATAACCTATGTTTCAATGCTCAACATTTCTTTCTCTCTACTTCGGCCTTTCATTGGACTGTTTTGTTAAATTCCATTCTTGATTCTTTTGAATCTCGATATTGGTTGTTCAGTTGCTGCAGCACAATTCCCCCAAGGCTATTTGTCTTCTCGATTCCGTGTGTAACTAACAAGGTTGATTGACTGATCAGTAGAGGACATAACACACGTGGATCTCAAACACCGTCATAACATGTTATGACATCCCGGCATCTTGCGGATGCTTCATTTCGTTCGCTCAAAAAAATTGCCGTTTTCGGTCGAAGATGTTAGGGCGATTACAAATCAATGTAATACTTGTTCAGAAATGAAGCCTCGTTTCCTCAGTTACCCTTTTGGCAGTCTTATTAAGATAACCAGTCAGCTGTAACACCCTTTCGGTGCCTAGCTGCCATGCCACGCGAAGGGAGCACGAGGGCTGGCATACTGCCAGGTTGCCCAAGCCTAGACAGGGGAAGTCGAGAGGCAGAGGTCGGGTTCGAACCACAGACCTTCCGGTCAGTAAATTAGCACTCTAACCACTTGACCATCTCGCCCCCGGCAGTCTTGTGAGAGGTCGATGGAAGTGGGCCTTCAAAACCGATGCTGACACGTTCAAACGGTTGTGTAACTCGCAGTCTTATTAAAGCTACACAACCGTTTGAACGTGTCAGCATCGGTTTTAAAAGCCCACTTCCATCGACCTCCCACAAGAAACACCTTTTAACAATGATCGACGAGTATTCCCGTTTCCCATTCGCCTTCGCGTGTACGGATCTTTCCTCATCCAACTTGATCAAGTGTTTGAATCAGCTGTTGTTCGGAATGCCCTCAAGCGTTCATTCAGATCGTCGTGGAGCTTTCATGGCAGGTAAAGTACAAATTTTCTTCACGACAGGGGTGTGACATACAATCCACGCGGTAACGTACAAGTCGAACGGCTTGATGAGACTCTTTGGAGTTCAATCACTCTGGCGTTGAATACCCAACAACGGGACATTACTGAGTGAGTATGCGTGCTTCTAGATGCTTTGCACTCTGCCCGCTACTAACACATCACACGGAAGATTTCTAGACTTCCACCGAAAGTCAATGTGTGGTACCTCTCTTCCGACTTGGTTATCGACTCCAGGCCCCGTCCTGTTAAGAAGGATGACAAGTTCCTCCAAATACGACCGTTTGTGGAAGAGGTGGAACTTGTTAACTGCAACCCGCAGTATGCCTGCGTTCGATTCCCGAAAGGAAATGAAGAAACCGTTTCTCTTAGACATCTGGCACCCGAAGCACAAAATATCTCAGATGTTTATTTAACCGAATCAATCGAAAGTGTAGCGGCTCCTCCAGACGAGACTCCATCACATTCGCTTGACCCTCCTGGAGGCGAAACGGCACCACCAGAACAACCCAGTGAAATTCCAGAGAATGTCCTACAGTACGTCACAGACCAACGTGTTCGACCGTATAACCTTTGAAACCGCGAAACTTGACAATAAGCCCTCCGGCGAGGAAGAATGTCGTATACTAACGTTTTGTTAAACTGTTTACTCGCTATTCGTCAAACTAATTGTCTCCTAATGTTTTAGCTGATGTACTGAAATTGTTAGAAGATTAAAGCCAGTCATCCGGCAATCTTCGTTCTCTATTTCTGGCACATTCATTCGAGTGCGTAACACTACATCTATGGGTAAACGGATTTTACGCCCGGAAAGCATTTCCGCGGGTGGGCTCTTGTTTGGCACATTTGGGTTAGTTGTCGAGCCATAGCCTAACAAAGTTTCAATATTCTCCGCTGACGCACCCTCTCCGTCACGAAGAGACTGGACCTTACCGTGGTGTGACGGTTTGCGCACCTCAGCGATCCATTGAGCTATACTGGAGAGTGTCCCGCGACACTCACAGAGTCTCTCACACCAGGT